AAAAAGCCACTCGGTGCTGCCAGGAAATACATTTGTATCTGAAGAGGTTGATTTTGACATCAGCATTGTGGACGCAATAGTATAACCTGTGGGACCATGGCCTGATCAAACCCTGATTTTAGGACAGAGATCAGATGGAATTCATTAAGTTAAGACTAGGAGCAGCCTGCTTTTCACGGAGTTATTCAAAGGAGTTCATCTCCATTCGATACCATCATTCAATAATTACTCAAATGTATTACCACAGGTCATTTGAATTCCTCTTCGCTTATTTCTGAAGCAGACATTTTCTTTTCAAAAGCAGCTCTGAGTTGTAGCCTGGGAGCTGTATGTTTGCACACACAAAACAATATCTGTAATATTATATTTTTCATTTGCCAGAATGTTCTTAACGTTTAAAAATAAAGCTCTTAAAGGGATAATTCACCAAAAAAACAAACTGTCATCATTTGCTCATGCTCATGTCATTCCAAACCTATATGACATTTCCTTGTCTGTAGAACACAAAAATATCTCCGTTTTTTTTGTCCATTCTATGAAGTCCAAAGGGAAGTCAGGGGTCCAATGTCAGGCTTGGAATTTTTTATTTCATTAAATTTTTGAGGGAACTATCACTTTAAGGTACTGAAATATAATGCTTATTCTGCAACAGTATAACACCCTACGGAATGATACTGTAATTTGCAGATGTGGCCACAGGGATTACAAAAGACTTATCATGACAGGGCTGAAGTCACTTACAGTTGAAAGGACTGCCGGTCTAGTCTAAGTGTGCCAACCGGAGTTTGTATTACTCCTTTCCACACTTCCAGGCTTGTCCCATTAGTTTGTCACTCATAGGATCGTTTTGCAGCAGCCGAGCTCACACCCTTACACACCCTAAGGAAATGCCTTACACACTCATCAGTCACTAGAGAGACGGCGTGGCAGCCAGCCGAGCACATGCGCATGTGAGTTTAGATGTAAGGGAGGCAAATAGCACAAACGCAGCAGGGTGAGACTCTGACAAGGAAAACTACAAAGAACGGTTGCTTTATAGGTGGGCTAAGGCTACATTTCTTTTAAATAGGGTTCGAAAAGGGTAGCATGTCAATGTTTAGTTTGTTATTCTTTTTTATTTGAATGCTAACATTATTTCAGCATGCATGGCTGTGAATGCCTTCTGATTCTAGAAAAAATGTGGCTTTGATATCTTTTTTTGCACTATTAATTTATTTAAAAAATACATCACACTTACTTGAATACATCTTTTATCGTGAGGATTTTTTATTTATTTATTTGTGTTACATGTGAATTACAATTAATTGTTAACATGAAGGGAGGCAAATAGCACAAACGCAGCAGGGTGAGACTCTGACAAGGAAAACTACAAAGAACGGTTGCTTTATAGGTGGGCTAAGGCTACATTTCTTTTAAATAGGGTTCGAAAAGGGTAGCATGTCAATGTTTAGTTTGTTATTCTTTTTTATTTGAATGCTAACATTATTTCAGCATGCATGGCTGTGAATGCCTTCTGATTCTAGAAAAAATGTGGCTTTGATATCTTTTTTTGCACTATTAATTTATTTAAAAAATACATTACACTTACTTGAATACATCTTTTATCGTGAGGATTTTTTATTTATTTATTTGTGTTACATGTGAATTACAATTAATTGTTAACATGTTTTTTTTTTTCATTTTCAACTACACTCTTAAAAATAAAGGTGCTTCCAAATGCCATAGAAGAACCTTTTTGTCTTAACATCTGAAGAAACTTTCTGTTTCACAAAAGGTTCTTTGTGGCGAAAGAAGGTTCTTCAGATTATAAAAAGGTAAGAAAGAGATGGTTCTTTAAAGAACCTTTGACTGAATGGTTCTGTGTGGAGCCAAAAATGGTTCTTCTATGGCATCGCTTGAAGAACCTTTTGAAGCACCTTTATTTTTAAGAGTGTATTCTGATATCATAATAAAGAAAACAATCCTAAATTCTTGAAAATCATTATCAATTGTTTGGTATAATTCTTTATTATTATTATTATTATTAATATTATTATTATTGTATTTTTTTAGAGAAAGTAAAGAAACTACTTTTTACTATTTAAAAAACAAAACAAAACGTATGCCCAAAATTTTCTTTTGAATGTTCTTTTTATTCACCAAAGAAACCTAAAGAAAATGTTTGCACATGTTTCTACTAAAAATATTATTATAATGTTTTCAACATTGATGATAATTTAAGTTGTTTCTCAGCATGTTAGAATGATTTCTGAAGGATCATGTGACACTGAAGACTGGCAGCTGAAAATTTAGTTTTGCCATCACAGGAATTAAGTACAGTTTATAATATATTCAAATAGAAACAGTAATTTAATTGGTCATATTTCTCCATTTTTACATTTGATCAAATAAATGGAGCCTTGTTGAGCTTAAGAGACTTTTTTCAAAAACTTTAAATCTTACAAACCACAAACTTTTGCACAGTACTGCATATTTTATTTATTTATTTATTTATTTGAAAATGATGATGTGCAGCCATAATTTACTTGTTGAGATGTGCAGAAGATTAAGATTTCCAAACATTAAAAGTTGTTTCTCAGCATGTTAGAATGATTTCTGAAGGATCATGTGACACTGAAGACTGGCAGCTGAAAATTTAGTTTTGCCATCACAGGAATTAAGTACAGTTTATAATATATTCAAATAGAAACAGTAATTTAATTGGTCATATTTCTCCATTTTTACATTTGATCAAATAAATGGAGCCTTGTTGAGCTTAAGAGACTTTTTTCAAAAACTTTAAATCTTACAAACCACAAACTTTTGCACAGTACTGCATATTTTATTTATTTATTTATTTGAAAATGATGATGTGCAGCCATAATTTACTTGTTGAGATGTGCAGAAGATTACGATTTCCAAACATTAAGTCCCTCCAGTCTCCAATAAGAGACCTTGGGTCCTGCATGTTCTTCCACAAATCTAATCTTTCTAAATGTTAAATCAGCACTGTTTAGGCTGCAATATGATATCATATAGACTGAAGAAGTTTTCCTCCAGACAAACCACACTTCTGGACTCTGCGGGTACAGTCCAGATGCTCAGATCTAACGTATCTCTGTTTACAGAAAAAGGCCAAGAGCTTTTATTCGTGATTGATGGAGAGGGCGGCCCTCAGGTCTTTGGAGTTCATCAGTATTCACAAAGCATTCCAGTCTGAGTCATAAGACAGAAGCACAAGACATAATGACTAGAAAGCATGTGCACAGGAGGCAGAACGTGTCTATACGCAAACACAGACAGCTTGCAGAACAAAAGCGATGAGACGAGGTCACATGAACTTGGGATTTATTGAAACAGAACAATGCTGGGTTTAAACATGCCAATGTTCAACATGGCATGTTCTCTTAAGAGTTTGTAAATCTCAGTTGTGATACGACATCAAGACAGGAATGAGCAGGACTGGAATCACAGCCAGCATATTCCGAGTCTGTTAGGGGCAGCCCAACAGCACACTATTGTAGGCTGAGACAAACAGCAGTGGCATGCAGAGGAGCTTATTTACATAATGGACAAAGATCTCTCCAGGTCTACAGGTCCATCTAGTGTCAGCCTCAGAGAACATCAACTACTGGAAAACACTCTACTGTATGAGCTCATTTAAATTCATGTAATGGAGCTCTGATGTAAGATCAGCAATATCATTTGCGGACTTGCAGAGAATATAATTGAACAAAAAAAAAAAGGGATTTGGAACAAACACCCCAAGACTAAACACAGATGAACATCAGCGCATTTGCTTTTTTTTCCACATGGAAACATTTATCACAGCAGTATACTACAGTAAGTGGTTTACATAGCATCTGTGTACAGTATATAGGATTTCTATTTAAAAATACATGAATATAAAACAATATACTGTTTGAAAGGTCAAAGGTCGTTTACATGAAACGGAATCTTTCATTTTTCAAAGGAGTTTTTTCCCCCCAAGAACAGATAAAAGAGCCATTTTATCATGTTATCAGGATAACATTCTCAAGATGACTAAAATAGAGAGTGTGTGTGTGTGTGTGTATGTATACAAATATATATATATAAAACTAACACTGTTTTCCACAAAACCGTATCTTTTCAAAATGTAAAAAACAAAACAAAACAACAACGATACATTTTCTGTATCAAGAAAAGACACTGTATTGAAGGGAAAAAATCATATAAATGTATTTTATGGGATCAGTGCAAATGTTTGCAGGCAAGAAAAAAATCAAGAGTCAGTCATGTAAACACAAGTGTTTTCATATAGCTTTTCAGTGTTTTTTTTGGCAAAGAAAATGTTCAATGAAAAATATGGTAATGTTAAAAAAATTACTTTATAAAGAAACAAACTACTACATTGTATTTTATTTAATTTATTTTATGGAATAAGTGCAGATGTTTGCAGGAAAGTAAAAATCAAACAGTAATCTTTTCCACAGAAAGCTATTGTTTTCCAACAAAAGAGTGTGTTTACATATTATAGCTTTCCAGAAAAAAAAAAATTCTGTAAAAAAGAATCTGTTCAATTAAATGTTTTTAATACATCTATTTATTTCATGAGATCAGTGTAAATGTTTCCAGGTTTCCAGAAATCAAGAAAAAAAAAAAAAAAATAAATA